TAAAGTTCATAGTTTGTTTCTCAAGATATTTGTTTACTTAGGCATATAATAAAATGTAATATAAAGCTTATGAGGTATAGGTTATTAATACTCAAATATTTGTCATTGAAATTCCACTTCTTTTATTATGAAACTTATAAAAAAAAATAAAGTAAAAGTATAAAAAAAAAAGAAAATCTCTTTCTGTGGCAGCGGTGGGATTCGAACCCACGCCTCCGAGGAGACTGGTGCCTTAAACCAGCGCCTTAGACCGCTCGGCCACGCTACCCACGTGGAGCCATCCATCCAGAAGTGCTACTCAGTCATTTACTATATATTCCCCATTTTATTTTATTCATAGCAATGAAAGTGAAATCAACAACTGTAGGAGGAAGCTTATTAAAATACAAAAATATGGTATATCATTGAGAGAAATTAAAAAAGCAGCTGGCTCCCTCTATCCGAGGGTTATTTACTCAGTTTTCGTAACCTTTTGTTGGGTGCAATCCCCCTAGGGGACACACCGCGACCATCATTATAATGATCATCATCATCATTATCACTATTATCATCAATGAGGCATAACCACGACTGCTACTTTCGTTGAAGCTGTTACAGCACATCATTTTCCAAGCATTTTCTGCTTTAATGAATTAAGTTTGGCTTTGGCTTTGGCTTTGTGTGAATTGTTAATGACATTCAATGTACACAGCTTGTACTAGGCACTACAGTTCAGTGAGCGGTCATTTCCTGCTTTATCAAACCAATTGTGATAGCGATTTAAAGAGGCAATCTAATCAGTCATGAACTTGCTTAATTTCGATCGTTTATTTACTGACTTATACTCTATATAAAAAGTTAGTAGAGCTGCTAAAAGTCCGCTTGCACTTAAATTAATAAAATAAAGCAGATAAAGGTCACAGCGAGAAAGTTTCTTTGGCACAAGCAATTGAAAATAATTTATATAAAGTGGGACACACACACACTTCTTGAGAGTCTTCTGCAGAGAAGTAGTGACTTTCTGCTCTTGCTCTCCATTCCATTCATTTATCATTGCAAAGTTTTCCAAGTTGACATAACTCCGAGGGGAGTAATTAAAAATATGAAAAACTTTATGCGGTCAATTGCAAGCGTCAAGCTACGTTGGACTTGGCTTATTTATTTTCGGGTCGCCTGACATTCGTTCACGCATCGCATAGCTGCTTTTTCTCTCGTTTATATAACAATCTGTTTTGACCTCACCCAGTGGCGACTTTCTTTCAGGAGAAAATACTGTGCGTACTACTTTGGCCAAGAAAAGAAAACTCTCAACCTCTGCGACAGTTTTTCCTTGTTACTTTGTAACTGCCGCATTATATTCCGCCCCGATGACGTACATTTCCGCTCGAGTTGAATGTCCTACAAGTTCCTGCGGCTTCCTCTTCAGCTCTCCTTGTTTTTTTATTTTTGTTGCGCAACTCAAATCGCAAATCGATGTAAATTTCATGTAGGTCTCCATTACACTATTGGCATTTTGGCCAAACTGAAGGGTGGTTCTTGTTTGGTGGCAGCACAGAGCGGGGGGAAAGCTGTCACCAGCAGATGTATGTAGGTCAGGTCAGGCCCAGTTGGTGGGCATCACGCCTCACCGGCGAAAAATAAGGCAGCTGGGCTGGTCTGGCGTCATTGCGGAACTGGAAAACAATTGAGCGGAACAGGGATAAGGGACACTCTTCAAAAAGGGGAGAGTGTGTCTGGGATGTAAGCTAATAAACTAATCATAAAAGATGTATCAAGGGGTTAAAGCCATGGCTGACATTCTGGGGTGGAAAATGAATAAGTAATGGGGGAATTCTTATAACCAAAGGTATTGCTTGGTACCTGAAACACTTCTCTAATTGTTTTTGATCGGAATAAAATAAATAAAACATAAGGGAGTATGAAAAAGTCTGGGTTTTATGTTGGAATAAATTAGGAATCTACCTTTGATTTGGTTTTTTAGATGTTTCAGGGGTAAAATTCTTCTTGATCTCCATATCCCTGACCCTTGAAAATATGCTCTTAGCATCTTATATTTTCTAGAATTATTATTTTTCCAAGTTAAGTATGGTACTTTCTGTATGATATTCCTTTATATATACCCTGATATACCCTGACATAACTCAATTACCCTTAAAAATATCTGCTGCCTAGATGTCTATTTCAACAATCCCCAGAGACTGACGTGTCGCTAGCCAAGTAGTCGTCATTCCCGATTTAATATCATAACATATATCCTTTTTGTTGGGCGTTGGCGTCCTCTTGTCTGAAGATTTGTTTAGGATCCTAACGAGCCGCACTCACGTCATCTCTTCTAGGTTTATTTTGTTGCCAACAGAGACTTGCCTGTAACCTTTCGCATTTGATTGGCTTATTCATAGTCTGTGACTCAAGTTGAGCTTTAGCTGTGCCCTTTGCCGGAAGGCGAAACTCTGACGAATGCAAAACAAAAGCGAAGCAAACCATCGCGTGTTATGGCAACGTTTTATATATTTTTGGGGCCTCGTTCCATTTGGTTTTGACCCTGTTGTAAGCTTTAAATTTAATGTGTGTAAAATCAATAATTGTAGAGGAGTTCCCCCGCGTGTGCGGACTGAGAAATGTAGATTAAGTTCTTTGGAAATATTTACACAGTTTACCCCTCTTTTTTTCTGGGGTTTGGAAACGTTGCGAAAATATTTATACAATTTGCATCGTCATTTCAACATTTAATTAATCCACGAAAAAAACGCTCATTTGTTTGCTTGCTGATAATCAAATATTTTTTGCTGCCTTTAAAAAAACACACACAGCTGCCTGGGCGGTAAACATGTTCACAATTTTTTTGTTGTACAGTATTAACAATTGAATTGCATTGTAATAAAATGTTTTTTCTTTATGGCATATTTACTCATTTGATTGTGCGTCATTGGATCGAAGAGGTAGCTTGGCCCTAAGGTCTAGGGCCTTAATTGCTTTTAGGCAATTTTTTCCCTTCAAAAACTCATTCAATTGCCTGGAAAATGTTGGTTAAAAAGTAAAGGGCTTCGAGTAAGCGAACTTTTTGTTAGTTTGTTAGTTGCCAAACGATCGAAACAAGTTGCAGCCCCTCGTTCCTTTTGCCTGGCGAAAAATTCCAGGAAAGTTCAAGTGTTGAAATGTGTTCATCTGCAGCGGATGCTCGCAAACCTGTTTTGGTTTTGTTTACACAAAAAACCAGTTTCTGTAGGAGGCTTCGCTCGCACTTGGCTTTGTCTGGGCTCTTAAATCAATCTCGATTACAGAGGCAACTCGAGCGTGCCCTTACCAAAAAGCTCCCACTTCTTCTTTGGTTTATGTTGTTAGCTCGTATGTCCGGGATGTGGAGAAATGCTCAGAGCGGACACGATAAAAATCAAACTGGGACAGGCCTTAATAAAAGCCGCCGTAAAAAAGGGGCAGACATAACAAAACAAAACGAAAAAATTATAATTAAAACCTGTTTTTTATTTCGACCACAAAATGCCGTGGGTCCCGAACTGAAAATTCCAAATCAAAAAAAGCCCAAAATGAAAAACTGTAACCGCCTGCAGTTCAGCGATCCATGAACACAAGTCCACCGACGGTTGTCCCCTGTAAAAATGCACATGTTAATGGGCAAAATAAACAAACCTCAGACTTGGGAAGACCTTTTGCTGAATTTTTCAATAATTTACAAACACAAAATAGGAAAAAAATCTTTGGGAAGCCGTTTTTTAAATAGCTTGCATTTTGCAGTAAAATTGTACGATCGAATCAGATATTTATCATAGCTAAGCTTGAAATATTCGCATTTTTTGAATAAAAATTTATGGATATTTTTATTTGACAATTTTTTCACAAAAATCAAAGCCAAAAATGCATTAAATTCAATTCGGAAAGCTGTCCTGTATTAGTTTCTATTAGGGTACCAAACCTGCATACTTAGTTTAACACTTTAAGCAACCTTGTGGCTAAAATTATAATCCCTTCTTTGTGCCAATATTTATCCATATTTTTATACCAAAATTTTTGGTACCAATCAATGTTTAAAAACTTCATAACAAAGCCAAAACAGCACTTAATTCGAATCGGAAAGCAGTCCTGTGTTAGTTTTTAATAGGATAATAAACGTGCATACTCAGTTTAACATTTTAGAAAATTCAATTTTTTGCCAATTTTTGACAATTTTAATGATGTAACCCCTTATGAAAATTTGAAATTTTGGCAAATTGTGAAAAAAATAGATTTTGTTCGGACATAGCTAGATCGATTCAGCTGTTAATGCTGATCAAGAATATATATGGTTTATAGGATCGGAAATGACTCCTTCACTATTTTAGAACCTTCGGACTTAAGTTGAAATCCATTCTTTGAGGCAATATTTATCTATATTTTAGCACAATTTTTTCGACCAAATCAAGCTTAAAAAATGCATAACAAAGCCAAAAATGCATTACATTTAATTCGGAAAGCGGTTCTGTGCTAGTTTTCATTAAGGTAATAAACCTGCATACTCAATTTAACATTTAAAGAAACCTTGGGACTAAAATTACAATCCATTCTTTGGGCCAATATTTATCCATATTTTTATACCACAATTTTTTGTACCAAAGTTTAAAAAACTGATAACTAAGCTAAAAACGAATAATTTTAATTCGGAAAGCTTTCCAATGCTAGTTTTTATTAGGTTGATCAATCTACATACTCAAAATAATTGATTTTAATTACTTCAATCTGTTTTTATTAAATTTAAATGATCTTCCTTTCTATGAAACCCCATAATCTTTAGGTATGTTTGAAAATATAGGTTTATCTATACCGTATGAATTTCGCCTTATTCTGTCTTCATTCGCCTTAAATTAGGGGCTTAAAATATTCGAGAAAATAAATAAATAAAATTAAGGTTATCGGTTGCTTCGAGAAATTTATATTTTCACAATAAATTAAATATTTTTCTATATTAAAAGCTTCCCTAGATCAAAATTTCCCCATCCATTTTGCTGAAGATAGTAATATACTTTCTATTCGTTTAACATTATTGTTGTTTTTAATTTGTGTTGATTAACATTTCGTTTTACGTATGTACACGCCTTAGGAACTACTTAAATGATCGCTGGGACTACGAATAAATTTGCAGAGAAAAATAAAATGCATTGACAATAGAATACGGAACAGAATCTCTAAGCACTCGCGATAGGAGGGGCAGGGCAGCCATTTGTTGTAAATTAGAATTAGTTTGTTGCTGATGGTTGTGACTCTCATGGCTTTTGCTAGGATTAAATCCAGTCATTGGATGTACTCAAGAAACCGAGGTAATTTCTAGACGAACTCGTAGCCAATGCCGAACTGGAAACCATTTGTGATCTTATCCGTGATCTGTCGTTTCACAGGGATGCAATAGTTCAGTTCGATCCGTGCTCTTTCCGCCAATTTAACTGCCAGACCCATGCCAAAGGCACTGCGCATGTTTTCTGTAAAACAAAACATTATTAATACTAAAATTGAGGGAGTCATTGTAACCTAAACAAACCTGTGCTAAAGCTATTACTGTTGCCCAGGTTGTAGAAGAAATGCATCCTGAAGTGACTGGCCAGGTTCTTGAAGACTCCGGCAAAGGGCAGTGGCGCCCACAGATGAGCGCCCGTCGCCCAGAAGGTCTGTGCGCCAATCGGCGTACCATCGATTACTGGTCCAGCTCCTCCAAATTTAAATCCTCGCAGGGTCAATGGTCCACCGCAGTAGAACAATGAACTGATGGGCAGCTGTGTTGTGTTTTTGGTCTCCTTAAGGACACCAACACGACCACAAAACTGTGCCACCAAACCAGCAAATAGGGGCACATTCACCTCTCCGTGGGCCGTGCTGCTGGTATAGGCGATATTGCCGCCCAATCCGCAGTATTCGTTGATCGATTTTAGCAGAATTCCACGGGTGGGGAATACATTTCCATCCCGATTGTCATAGACCACGGAGTAGCGGAGCAGCGAGGCCAGCTTGGGTCCACAGTGATCCCGAATGGCGAAGGGCACCGATTTGTTTAGCAGTCCCACTTCCCTGATGGAGTTCTCGTACTGCAGCGAGTGTGTCAACTGAAATGAAGGCGGAATATTGAAGAAGTTTCTCAAGTCAAATGTAGGTTTTAATACGTACATCCACGCCCAGCATAGTGTGTGCCGAAAAGTCCACCAAATAGCCCAGATTTGTGGATTGAAATGAGCTGATGTCGTATCGATCCGTTTGTCTAAACAGGCTGAAGGATACTCTATAAAGAAAAAGAATTATAACCATTAGTAATAGTACAATTTATGAGAATATTTCTCCTTACTCGGGTCTGTTTTCCATGAAGCGTGTGTGAAAGAAGGGCTTCCAGAACTTCAGTTGCAAATCATTAGCCTTCGTGCTGCTGTAGCTCCCCTGCAGTGAGAGGCTCTCGCCGCGTCCAAAAATATTCGGGATGGTTAGCTCCGTGCGCAGGGATCCCTCGTTCTGGCCAATCTCCGTGCCCGCTGAACCCATCATGCGCGAGTACTCATTGCCCTTGAAGGTCACCTCGTAACCCTGCGGGGAGGCATCTGATCCTCGGCTTATATCGATATGCACGCTCACATCCTTGAAGATGCCCAGCTCGTGCAGATACGATTTGGCAGACATGGCCTCCAGCATCAGATCCTGAAAGTTATTGGCTTTGAATAGGGCATCCGCTGCCCTCATTACATAGTCGCTGTGGGTGCGGAGCAGGCCGCTGACATTCACGCGATCCACGCGAGCATATATCTTGCTCAGATCGTACTTGGAGTCCTTGGACATCTTGGAGGTTTCGGTGGGCAGGTGTCGTAAGGAAATACTGCAAAAAAGGGGAATAAAATTAGCATTATAAGACTTTTAAATGCTTGGGCTTTCTTCTCTTATTTATATAATATTATATTAATTATTTTACTTTTATTTCCTTGCAGATTGAACTGGAGAATCTCAATAGTGCAACCGATGAGATTAATAAGCTTGAAATCGAACTGGAGGTAAACCTTATTGCATATTAAATGCATATATTTCTACTAAATATCTGATACTTTTTTAGGAGGCCAATTCTACCTTTCGAATTCTGCTGAATGAGTCTACGCGTCGCCTGAAGCTTTCATCGAAGAAATTGGGCAGCTGCATAGAAAAGGCTCGACCCTACCACGAGGCTTTGGACAAGGCACGCGAGGCACAAATCGAATGCCAGAAGGCGGCAGTTAAATTCCAGCGTGCAAATGGTGAGTACAGAGAAATTCCCACGATAACCCAGAAGTAAGCCCTATTCTTCCCTACCCCTAGAAATCCATGCTGCGGCCAAGGAAACGGTGGCGCTGGCCGAACAACGTTTCATGTCCAACTCGCACGAATGGCAGTTCGACAATGCCTGGCAGGAGATGCTTAACCATGCCACCCAAAAGGTGATGGATGCCGAAACCCAGAAGGCTGACTGCCATGCGGAACACCAGCGACGCACCCGGCTCTTCCACACCGCCGAGCAGAAGGTGCAGCAGCTGGAGGATCGCTATCGGCGTAGCATAAACAAATCGCGTCCATATTTCGAGGAGAAACAGGTCTGCCAGGATCAGCTGCAGACGCAAAAGAATCGCATACAGGAGCTGCAACAGCAGGTGGCCGGTGCCAAGAGCACCTACTCAACGGCTTTGCGTAATCTGGAGCGGATCAGCGAGGATATACACCGACAGAGGGGGGATTTTCCCACTCCGCCGGGACCCCGCGAGCCGGGTGTCGGCGCCGAGCTAAATTCCCCGACTTCCAGTGCTTTGCCCTCGCTGCCGGACTTTCAGATGGAGCTTGAGAAGTGTGACTATCCCTCCATTGCCGGCAGCCAGATGTCCCTGGGTGCTAAGACGCCACAAACAGCTGCTGAAACAGAGGATGAGGAGGATGCCTGCGACTACGACGAAACGGGAGCAGGAGAACTACGAGGTGTAGTGGATGAGCGTGATTTGGAGGCGCTGCGACAGAAGGTCAAGATACTGGCTGTGCGTCCCATCGAGGGAGGAGATGGTCAGCAGCAGAACGATGTGTGGGAGCATGAACTGAAGGCCACGGTGGATAAACTGGATAACTTGATGATGCGTAAGGAGGCAGCCAAGAGGCAGCAAAGCAACCGCTTGAAGGCCACCGAACAGCGACCCGATTCCCTGGGAGCCGAGGCCCTGAAGCGACACAGCGACGAGGTCCAGGTGAAGGTCACCACCGCCAGCTTGCCAGTCACACCCCACCACCAGCAGATGCACCACCTAGCACCGCCCACGCCCATAAAGAAACTGCAGCAGCAGCTGGCGCCCTTGCCCTCGGTGAATGTCTCAATGCGGGAGCTGCCCCTACTGGCCCGGCTATCCAACGAGCTCCTCGATCGCAGCAGTGCTGCGCTGGGAGGAGTACGCAAGACGCTGCGCCGGCGCTCTTTGGAATAGTGAGGAGCTAGGGGCAGAAGAGGTGCCATCCGACAGCAGCCCCATATCATCAGATTTGTTTATATTAAATGAATAGTGAATAACAATTGTAAAACGTTAAATGCCGCATTTAAATGTGCACCAACTCTCAATAAGTCTACACACGATAAACACACACATATATATATATATATTTTCTTATAAATGTTAATTACATTCTAATCTAATATGTCTCTCGTACTTGTTTCTCACTGTTAAATACTTTAACTAAATGTAATGTGAATGTTTTGTGATTTGAGAGAGAGAGAGAGCAAAAAGAAAATGGATTGATTGTAATGCAAAATGAAAAAAACAATAAGCAGCTTTAAGTTAATGTTTAAACTATTGAAATACCAAGCAGACTCACTAATTTAAATCCCATTGGGCACATGCACTAAATAGTTTAGCCTAAAAATACGCCAGAACTCTGAATAAAGCCCATGTAACGAATTCAATTAGATAATTAAGTGTGAAACTCTCAAAGTAAACATGTAGTGAATGGAATACGAAAAAGGTCTAGAGACCTAATCGGTGCCCAGCAGAATAAGGGAATGAAATAAAAGTATTGCAAAATGAAGTAATAAAAACTTGCATTCTAATTCTAAATGAAATGTGTGTGTGTTTTCAATTAGGGGGAATAGATTTATAATATAAATTTGTGGTATTTGAAGGCACTTTCACCAAAAGCTAACAAATACAGCTAATTTATACAAAAATATTCAATATTTTGTTGTTCTTTTGAGACACCTCAAATTGGGGAATGCCATGGCTCTTTTCGTAATGCCCTTGCATCGAAATTAGTGCCAGGATTACTATATACACATCATATATTGACGACATTTGCTAAAAACTACCAAATGATGTCATTTCGCCTGCATTTTGAGCAAAAGCGACTCGGACAAACAAAAAATTCCGGCCCCCAAATTATGTAAGGTCCGCTTGGCCAAGTCAATCAGCTGACTTACCTCTAAACTCGTACCGCCTCAGCTAGCTGGGTGGTTGCACACGCGAATTTGGGACTAGTGTTACGAGCAACTACAAAATATAAATACTACGAGCAGCGGTTCGGAAAATATTGCCCGATTTCCTTTTCAAAAACGTGCGACACCAAAAAATCAACAAGCTGCTTCTTCTACCTTCCCAGTGCTGGCGATGAAGATAGCCAGATTTGGCTTTAAAATGGAGAGTACTAATAAATACCAATAAATTCCTAATAAACTTTTGATAAATATAATTTAACATAAAATAACTTTTAGTTTTCTAATTTTAAGAATAAAAAATCTTTTTTATATTTTCTCTTATATATATTATAAGAATACAAAATATAAATCCAGCGGGAAAATATCTGAATTTACATCACTTGCGATAATTCGACGTTCGATAAATGACATGACTAATGGTCACACTAATTAAAAATACAAGCAATCTAAAATTTAAAAATGTTTTTGGCAGAAAGGTTTAATGTAAACTTTTCTGAAAACAGCTAGTATATTTTGATTTGAATATGCCATTATATTAGCTTAAGTTTAAGCTAGAAGGGTGCACACAAAAATATAAAGTTTGCTTATAAGCAGGTGAAACAGATTTGTTGCCAGGCAAGCATCTGGAAATAATTAAATTTAAGTACTTTATTATATAGCTTACATGTAAAGAGAAGCAATTACAACTATCAGCCTACGAACGCTATGAACTACTGTTTGGTTACTTTGGTGCATCGGATGCCCTTGGACTGCAGCTTGCGCATGATGTCCAGGGCCTCCTGGTTTTTGGTTGAACTAGCTTCACCCGGCGGAGTCAGAATGGTATTTCCACGTTTCACCTCCACGCCGCAGGCCCGCAGCTTGTTGAGGATTTTCTGGGTGCCATCCATCGGTATGCTCACCATGGGAAGCTTCGATTCGGATGTCATTTGGGAAGCCACTGGGGATGTCTTTGGCGGTGACAATGGTGTGTGCTTGGTAGCCAGTCGAGATGTCCGACTGGAAGGTGACTGAGATGCACCCGATGACGCTGCTCCAGTTGGACTCTTTTTCTTGGGGACCACCTGCAAGCGCTTGAGTTCCTCCATGACGGTGGGCACCAGAATAGGTTCCTTCTTTTTCGTTTTCACCATTGGGCCTTGGGTCACCGTTGGGTGGCCGTTGGTGCTGCGCGTCTTTCGCTGCTGCTGGGCAGTCAGGATTGGCCGGCGGGGATTGCTAAGAGTGCGCGGACGCTTCGGTGGCGGCACATCCTCTTCAGGTTCATCCTGCGGCAGCTGCAGCTTAATCTCCACCACATTTTCCTTGGCCAGATCCGATTTGATTCTCACTGGGCTGAGACTCGGCTTCGGATCGGTGTACCAGCGCGGATCCTCTAGCTCAGCCTCCAAGTCGAAGGTGCTAGAAAGCTTCACGCCCTCGATGTCGTAGATGTGGAGCTAGAGTGGCAATAAGCCAAGTTAATGGTGTTCCTGAATGCGTCTCCTAGAAATTCTCACCTCCTGCCTGCCACCCACGAGCCTCGTCTCCCGCTTGGCCTCGTCGTAGCTGAGCAGTTCCGATGGCGTTACTATATGCTTCAGGCCGGAGCAGTCGTTCAAGTGCTTCTGGAACGCCTCGAACGTTACGAAGTGGCGGTCGCAGCTGCGGCACAGCATCATCAGGCGCTTCTGGTCATCGTATAGCACATCGCCCAGTCGCACTGTTCGCAGCGACTTTAATTTTCGTGCACCGTTCATTTGTTATAAACAAATTCGCGCCACAAAATGTTAATAAAACGCTATCCGTTTTTGTTTTTGTTTTGCTCGCTTAGTGAGACCAGACAGTGAGCAGGGTTGTCACGGTAATTGCGTCTTATGCACTGCTTGGCGTGTTGGGTTTAGTATTTTATCGACTGCTTTGTTGTGTTAACTGTCAGAGTTTAAACTGCTTGCGTCTTTTTGACAGCGAGCGCGCGTAATTTAAATTATATGTTAACTATTTTATACGGCGATTTAGAGTTAAAGCCATAAGTTAAAACAAAATTAACAATGTGTGTGCTTGCTATTATTTTTAAAATATAATATATTTATCAAAAGTTCTTCAAACTAACCCAATAAATAAATAAAGGTCGATTGTATTTTATTTAAAATACAATTTATACACCAAAATAAAATGTTAAATAATGTTTAAGTACCACAAAAATATCAATAAGAATGCGTCATACCGAAAATTCTTGCATTTTCAGCTGGAAAAACAATTGAAAACCTTCGACATAGCCATTTTAGCGGATATAAAGGTCGCTTTTTGCTGTTGATATTACTGCATAATGCCAGCTTTTTTGCCTGTTGTTTCACCGAATGACTGGATATATTTTCGACAGCTTCTGGCTTTTGTAGCCTTTGATTAACGCCCATGCAATTGAAATTAAATCGCTTGCAAATGATTCGCTTGCCCGCTGATAAAAAAAAGGCGAGTAGAGAATCAGGAAAATCCCATCGTTTATGCAGCCGAGGGCCTTTTCTTTTTTTTTTATTAACTGATGTTCCAGAGTGCCAGCCATATGCAACGTACATTTTGTACATTGTCTGATTTTGACTCCAACTCTGATGTCAGTCTACTGGGCGGAAGAGAAAAAACAGAAGAGTAATCGGGGGGGTTACCCTTTAATTTTTTGCGTGTGTCACGATACTTGTATATTATCGCTTTTTGTAATGTTCCAAATAACGAGGCCGTCGTCGGACCATGTGTCGCATAATCACCTGCCTTCTCACCTGCACGGCGAGTATCGCTGGCAGATTCTGACCCACTTTAGTTTTCGTTTTGTTCTTGTATTATTCTTAGGACTTTGGGAACTTTAAAGGGGCATCTCGCTTACGCCAGGAAATTGTATGCATCAAGCAAAGGGGCCTGGACTGGGACTCCAAAAAGTGGGCAACAGCAATTGGATGAAGTTGCCAATGACGATGTTGCTGATGATGCTCCTCCTAGCGTTGCCGTGGCTGTTGCTATTCCTGCATGCAATTAAGCCAGGGACGAGGCACTACTATACTTGCCACTCTGTGCAGTCCCAAAACTGCAAGCTGACCATGCAAATTACGTTGCCCACACGCTCCCTTACAGCCTCGAACCCACACAGACACACACGTTCGCACGCATTCCTGTCGCCTCGTTTGGGGGTTTCAGCATTTCGGCATTTCGGGGCTTCCCCGGCGTTTGAGTGATGCTGCGACCAAGGAGCCACCGGCAACTAGCAACCTGCAACCAGCTATCAGGTCGTGGACTGCCACTGCCAAAAGCTAAGTTAAATGGACTTGCGGTGCACTCGAGCAGCTAGTCCAGGCATAGCTATAGTGGCTACTCTCTATAAATCACACTTTTGATGGGTTTAAAGAGGTGTCGAGAGGTGTGATTCAACGTATGCAATTTATAAAATATGCAGTCATCCCATGTATCCATAAGACAATTATTGAGACAACATGAATTTATAAACTCTTCAAAACCCATAAAACCCACCACAATCCAAGTTCAGGATATGGTTTGGTTTAGCCATTAAGGACTGTACTTCGCATATGCAGATTGAAGTGCCGTCCATGTCAAGGTGGCGTCTGCAGCTTTGGCCAGTAGATTAAATTAAACGTGGCAAAGGCGACGGCGCCAGAGGACGAGACACAGCCACAGCCAGAACCAGAGCCGGTGCCGGTGCCGGAGACGGAGATGGAGCCGGAGCTGGTGCTCGGAGCTGGTGCCTAGCACTGGGACTCGTACTTCCATGTGCCAGGCAGGAGGAGCAACTGCAGCCATGCAACGGCAATGGCAACAACATTAAACGTGTTTACACCATGTCCGACCAGTTGATATGCCAACTGGGTCCGACCTCTTCCCCTTCCTGCTCTAGCTCCTGCTGCTCCTCATAGTCGGTGCATACAGATGCGTAGCCAAGCATGAACTGCTCTTGGACAATGAACACATGCCATGGCAGGGCATTTCCACCTAACACCCACCCACCCAGTCAGGCAGGCAGGCAGGCAGGCCCCTCGACTATTGTCCTGCTTTTTGTTTACTGTTTTTCGAGGGGTTTCGCAAGCGAGTCAACTGGATACAACACAAAAACAAAATACAAGAAAAAAGGAAAAAAGAAAGGGAAAACCAACAAAGAATCACAATCACTGCATACTTGCAGGTGCCGCTGCTGTCATAATACAATGGAAAAGCTGGCGCTACAATTGCCGCACACACAGTTGTTGTTTTTCCCATAGTTGTGGACTGTGAATTAACTCACTCCCCCGCCCACCCACTCTCACTCTCTCTCGCATGCTTTTCCTTGGGTTTCCTGCAGTGCAGCAGGTATGTATGGTGTCTTGGTGACCACGTTTTCGCACAAAAGTGCTGCATACTTTCAGTTGTCACAGGACACACCTTATGAGCGCGCGTGTATGTGTGTGTGTGTGTGTGTGTGTCGCCATGTGTTAAGTTAAGTAAGTTCGACCAAGTGGCTGTTCCAGCCACCTCCGGTCTCTGTCTCTCGGTACTCGGCACTTGGCCTGTCACTTAGGCTAAGCATCAGGAAAATGCCATTTTTCATCTAAACAACCGCAAGAACATTGATTCCAACATGCTCCGAGCTTGGCTTTTTGGGGGATTATTAGCCTTATCCTCTGGCCTTAGCACATGTGGCTAGAAAATCCCTGGCCAGCTATTAGCAATTCATTAAAATTGCAATCCATACAGCAAACTGGTTTATAATTTACATATTCCACAGATTTAAAGAGATTTCAGGAGAGAGGATTTAAGTTTTAGGAGAATGATTTTCAATTGTATCTTAAAGCTTTAGTTTAGGTTTCAGACTTACTTTGTTGTAGCAAAACTTTATTATAAATTTGTTTTAATTTTGTTTAGGTTTCAAGCCACAATTTAAAGGTATAACTTTAACATAAATTCTTAATTATTTTCCCCAAGCTTTTTAATTCATGTTCGAGAAAGTGTTGAGGTAACTTTTCCCTCTGCCAGGTAGATAAACTTTCAACGAGTGGAGGAATTGTTAAACTCTCAACTGGCCAGAGGCAACCTGCAACTTGCAACTGTCTCACCGTCGTCAGTTTAGCCGCAGGAATCAAAGTCCAAATATTACGCTCATTTATTGACGGTCGGCAAACACAGGCGAGAAGTCAAATGAAATTGCTATAAACGATGGACCGACCAACTTTCCATCCCTCCCCCCGAACAACCTTGTCCAGGATCCAGGAGCTCTTTCTCTCTCCTGTTCTATTGACAGACAGCATTCAGTAGTGGCATGTGTTTGTGCAAAAGGACGAAGAGGGTCTAGGGGAAGATATCCTGGACTTCCTGCGGCCTGCGGAGGAGCAGAGGGCTTCGGCTTAGGCAGGAGGTAGTACGGCTGCAACAATTGCAGGAGATCGGCAATTTCCTGCTTGCCTTGCAGGCAACTTGATTACAAAGCACAGAAATCAATAGGAAATGCAGTTAAATATTTTGCAAGCCGAAATAATTGCACATCTGGGCAGGTGAAGGTGAAGGGAATGTGACTGTGACTCTGGAGTCGCACAATAAATGCAGCCAGCTGTCCGAAATTATTTAATTAAAAGCCAAAACTGAAGCTCCGTCTAAAGTTGGCCAAGGAGATGTTACCCAGCTGTAAGCGGAGCAAAAAACTTATGGATCATTGCAAACTTTCATCCGTCTTTTGGATGTATTTTTTTTCCCCCCTTCCAAACTCCTCTGAACTTGGCTGAGAGCTGAGTCTGAGCCGGAGTCTGAATCCTGAGTCTGAGTCCTGAGCCTGAGCTGAGCAGGTGAAAAAGTTTTCCAGGGGAGCAGCAAGCAGCCTTCAACTTGTTAAACAATTTTCGTATATATTTTCGACAAGTTTACGCCGTATACGGCAAGTGTGTGTGAGAGGACACGGCAAGTGCGGGCGGTTAACAATCTTAAGGACCCAGTTCGAGGGGGAGGAAAGGAAGGAAAAAGAGTAAAAAATAAAAACAGCATCTTCAGCTGGCTTTTGGCTCTGACTTGGCCTGTCTATCTGCGATTCCCGTTTCTGACTGGCAACTTTGCCAGACAATTTTTCTGCCGCTTTGCATGTCAGTGTGCAGTGCCAGTGCAGGCGGCAAGTTTGCAGAGGAGTCACAATCCGACCGTGATCCCCCATCCCGGCCAGAATCCCATCCCTCATCCAATATCCCTTCGCGTTGAGCGCCCCGGCAATATGCAATTGAATTTGCAAGGATCTGGATATATTTCTTGCCCAGCCAGGTGCTCGGACAACACAGATAACACTACGAAATACCATAAAGTGTGCGCTTAAAGGAGTAACGATATCAATAATAAATAGCCGCTCTAGAAATTCATGCAACAGAAGCCAGAGAGTGCCTGGCTGAAGACAACAAATACAAAAAAAAAATGGGAAACATAACAAAAACAGGGAGAATTTGCCTCTGGCCAACTATTAAATTGGCCAGCTTAAACGTAGTCTATATAATAAATTGATGGCTTTAACCAGGCTCCGGGGCTGGGAGGCGGAAATTTAAGAAATTTCAGCCTGAAATTTAAAGCGTTCGTGTTTGGGGCCAGACAAGTGCATAATTTACATATTGTCGGTCTCAGTCGGTGCTCAATGCAAAAGGCAACTTAAAGCGAACAATCAAATAATTCAGATCCTTACTCTCACTGCCTTGTGGCTTTGTCACAAATGTCCTGCAAGCGGTAAAATAGCAAATTTAATTATTTAATGGCTTTTCTTTTGCCAGTTTATTTAATGGCTTAAAAGCCATGACTTTACTGATGTTTTTTGTTTTCTTTAAAAATGTATT